AATGACAAAGCTTCAATTCTGATGTGTTGGCAAAGGATCTGTCTGGATGCTCGGACGACTATACGTAAAATCAAGTATTCCGACTCTAATCAGTTCACGCACCCTAGCTTTCAATGCAAAACAATGCTCCAAGTCGTGGCCTAAGGCACCCTCATGAAAAGCACACTTTAGATCAGCCCTAAATCCAACTGGAGGATTAAGAGGAGGTGGTAAAGCCTTTGTAGTGATCAGCTCTTGTCGAACTAAGTCAGGATACAGCTCTGTGTAAGTCATGAGAATAGGATCAAAGTGACTCCTGTTCCGTTTCTGGTCTGATATCTGTGTCGAGGAATCAGCTTGACGACTCAAAGGTACACTAGAAGACGATAGGACCAAGAAGGAGAAACTGGGGGACAAATGCAATGCAAAAATGTGATGCTAATGCCATGTAATGGTTCCAAGAATTTCAACGGTCGATTGCAAATATTCCCTTTTAGGAAAGCGAGAAAAGCTGTTAGACTTTAAAATGTAGGACTTCTTGAATTTGCAAAGGACTTTTGAATTCCTTGAAACTAGAAATGATATGATGCTTTATGGATGCGAAGCACAAATACACATAAGCAAACAAAAGGTCCTAAGTTAGAGGAACAATGAATGGAGTCAAGGTTTACCCTTCCCAAAGAGGTATGTACTATAGGTTGATTGTACCTGCAGAACAAGGGTTCTAAATCAGTGCCCAAAGTCATCAGTCCATCTTTCGGATATTATCGACTTCCCGACTGACTCGAGGGTCAATAATATTCTCAAGAGAACCTCTTTTAAGTGTAGCATCGCGTAGCAACCATTGTAGGACTACTCCCACATAGTTCCCGCACTACATCCTATATAAGGCCAAGATGGTGTAAAGGTACTACGGTTCCCAGTATCACAGACTCCAATCGATAATGGTAAAAGTTTTCACGATTACACTCGATCAACCGAACCATTTTCGAAAGTGTCTCAACTGAGCGGTGATTCTCGAGTCAACTTAGTCGGGACTCACTCCCTATAAGCCTCGTCGAATATATCACCATCCTATAATAATGTCACTCAAGTCCGGGTGTAGGACTTATCTCACAACACAGTAACTCCCAAGCAGGTACCCTGAACAACGTATATACAAATGAGTAAAAATATTAATGAAACAAATATATGAAGAAAAATAAACAAGATAGGGATAACCCTCAAAAACTAGGACTCCCCAGTGAAGTCGCCATTTTCTGTTGCGGTGAAATTTGGATGTCAAGCTATTGATTAACTTGAATCTTAATTCATTTACAACCGGTCTTTGATTTATCCGAAGGAAAGGTTAAAGAAAGGAAAAACCTAAAAGGGAGAGATCTAAGGTTCGGGGGTTGGTTAAATTTAGGGAAGGTATTAGCACCCTAAAATTCCGTAGTACTCTACGGGAACCTTTTGTTTATTTTTTTTATTTATTTCATTAATTATTTTGCTTTAGGGTATATACAAAGGATTGAAAATTAAAAAAGACCTAGGGGTTAATTCTAAGTTTACTCGGCAAGACATCGCATCTTGTGCCTACATATCCTTACGGGAATGGAATCAGAGTAACTGTAGTTCCCCTTAAAAGGGAGGTTAGAAACGTCTTGACTGTGGCCAAGGTTTCAATGGGAAAGTAAGCACATCTTAAGGATATGCTTAGTGGAGTTCAGAGACTCCAATCTCTATGTTAAAAAATGTTAATTAAAATTAAAATAGGGTTAAATTAGGGATTCCACGGCGGAAAACCTTAAAACAGAGTACGGCGACTCTTTTGGCCTAACACTAGGATAAAAACAATTTTGCCCACGGCGGGACACCTAGACTAAACAGGGTTTGATCCATTAAAGGGGTAAGGCTATTGACTCGGCGGCCAAAAGGCTGGACCTAATCCTTCGGAAGGATAAAACTGTAAAAAATGTGAAAATATGACAAATCATTATATGGAGGAATAATTAAGGTACAGAAATAAGAAAAGTAATAAAGGCAGAGAGTATAAAGAAACAAAGAAACATTTCTGAAAACATGAAGAATATGAAAATATGTAATGACACTTAGAATGAAGTGAGGGAGGAAAATAGTGTGGGGCTGTGGCCACCACAAGCACATCTCAACCTCGAGCATGCACATGAAATGCCAAAAGAAAGAAAAGTAATAAAAGGGTACATAAAATGACACGACAAACATCAAACATCAGGAGTTCCTTACGAAAAGGTTTTAATTTTTTAATATTTTAATTAAAAAAAAGGTTTTAATTTTTTAATATTTTAATTATAAAAAAAGGTTTTAATTTTTTAATATTTTAATTATAAAAAAAAGGTTTTAATTTTTTAATAAAAAATATTTAAGTTAAAATTATATAAAAAAAATTAAGTTTAAATTATAAAAAAAGTTTTTGGGAGAAAAGTCTTTTCAGTTTTTTTTAGAACAAAAAAGGCTTTTCATCCCAAAAAAAAGGCTTTTCAATTTTTTTGGGAAAAGGCTTTTCAGTTTTTAAAAAAGGTCTTACTAAAAAAAAGGTTTTAATAATAAATAAAAAAAAGGGTTTTGATTTTAAAAAAAGGTTTTGATAAAAAAAAGGTTTTGATATTAAAATCTACGGACCTAAACACACATGGAGATTAACATGACAAAATATGCACATAAACATGAAAAAGCAAAAGGTTTAGTAATTTAACGGACCTAAACACATTAACATGGCAAAATATGCACATAAACATGAAAAGGCAAAAGGTTTAGTAATTTAACCTACGAAGCGGAGGTTTGCTTCGGTAAATGTGAAAAAGGTTTGAATAAGGGAACACTGGAGAACTCCAATCCTTCTGACGAGTTGTGGGAACGACCGCCTTTCTTCTCTGGGGATCTCCTTTGTTTCTCCCTTTCTCTCTCCTCTTTTCTGAAGAAAACCTTCTGACCCCCTTTTCAACAAAGTAACACATGTATATATAGGGAACAAATTAGGGTTAACACCAAATTGTCAATAATGTCCCTAAAGCCCATTTTAAAGTCCAAACTAAATAATTAGTTAAGAAAAAATAAAATTTAAATATTTTAAAACAAACTTAAAATAAAAACTAATAATCCTATTGATTCCTAAAATCAAAAATATTATAAAAAGAACAAAATTTTTTCCAATATTTTTTTATTTTATGATTTTTTGGATATTTTTATGAATAATTTAGAAAAAAGTGAAAAAAATAATATTTTAAAAAATGATTTAATTAAAATACGAAAATAATAATTAAATAATAATAAAAAACTATTTTTGTTATTTTTTAATGAAAGATAGAAAAATTTAGAGTAAAAATAATAAAAAACAAAAAGTGACAAAGGTGAGATTCGAACTCTCAACCTCTCACACTCACAACTCCTTACACATGTCCTCTTGCCAATTATGCCATTTTTACTTTTTAGAAGAAAAAATGCATGCCATATGATATTTACCTGCAAAAAGTCAAACGACTACACAAATTTGTTAGTAATTGATTAAATACAATAAAAATGCAATGAAATGCGACGACAAATCTTAGGGCAAAATTTGGGGTATTACACTTACCTACCATTACAAGTTTTTTCACTAATTCGGTTAGCTCATCTATTCTATTTTCGAAGGCCTTGCTGGAAGAAGAAATATGAGAAGAAAAGTGAACCTCATTCACACCTTTTATTTGGATAGAATTGTTTCTCGTTGTGAACTGTTGGAAATTAAGCGATATGTTATCTATCAAGGCTTTGGCGATAGCTGGAGTCTTATCAACAAGTGATCCACCACTAGCAGCATCTAAAATATTACTATCCATTGGTTTTAATCCTTCATAGAAATATTGAATCAATAATTGCTCGGTGATTTGGTTTTATGGGTAACTTGAAACTAGTTATATGAATATCCCTCAATATTCAGCCAATGATTCATTATCTAGCTATCTAATACCGCAAATATCTTTTTGTATCGAGGTAGCTCTAGAGGCAGAAAAGTATCTCTCTAGGAATACCTTCTTTAAATCATTTCAAGTTGCAACAAAATTATGCTCAAGATAATATAACCAATCTTTGGTCGCACCTTGTAGTGAAAACAGAAAGGCTCTTAGCTTGATGTGATCTTCTATAATTCGTTCCGGCCTCAGTGGAGTAGAACAAAATATATGGAATTATTTAAGATGCTTGTGTGGATCCTCGCCTGCAAGACTACTAAATCTCGGCAACAAGTGTATTAATCCATATTTTAACTCAAAAGGAACAGCAGGGTCAGCATATTCAATACACAAGCCATTATAATTAGCATCAGGAGCAACAAGCTCTCTTAATGTTCTTTGGTCAACCATGTTATTGTCGAAAGCAAATTCAGAATCAGAATCAAACAAGTAATGTAAGAACAAAGAATCAGAATCACAATTGTTAAGGCTCAAAATCAAAAATGTCAAAACAAGAAGACCTAGTGGTCAGAACTAATGCACAACAAATGTGATAATGCCAACAATGTCCCTATTATGCAAAAACAAAACAAACAAAGAAATATGATTAAAATAAGATTTAAAAAAAATACAAAAACATAAAATTTAATATAATTAATTCAATTAAAAATTTGATTAATTGCAACTTTGGTCCCCCTATTTTGTATTTTTTTAGGTTTTGATCCCCCCATTTTAAAAACTATTATTTAGGTCCCCATTTTAAGTTTTGAGTTTGATATTAGTCTCTTTTCCATTTTATGTCATTTTTTAATGACGTGGCGCGTTGAAAGAAGATGTGGCATTTCCATGTCAATTCCATACTTTCTATTCACCAAATATCATTTCCATGTTATTTATTTTTGATTTCATTTTCAGGAAATTAAAAACCCTAACATGTATTTCCAAATCCATTTCTTCAAAGTTTCTTCAGCCATTTCTTCAAACCCAGCCGTCCTTGGGTTTTGAAACCCATTTCTTCAAAGTTTCTTCATATTCTTCTTCACAAACCCAATGTGTCTCCTACTTACCAGCATGTCTGAAACAAATTTTTCTTTTTCCTCAACAAACCAGTATGGGTATGGTATAAGAAGAAGAGGTAATAGATGTTGGTGTGAGCTTGAGTCACTGTTGATGACGTCATGGACATACGATAATTTCGGAAGAAGATTTCATGGTTGTGGTAATTTTAAGGTGATGAGGAAAAAAGTATGTAATTATTTTCAATGGTTTGATGAAGACATGAGCAGATGTGCTAAAGATGTGATACGATCTTTGAAAGACAAGAATGAGGAGCTTATGGATGTGATTAAGGACATCAAGAAAAATGAAGATTTGTTGAAAATGAAGATTATGTTTATGTATTATTTTGTGGGGTTATCTATGATGTTTGTCTTTTTAATTGTGTTTGCATTAGTTGCAACACATGTACTCAAATTATGTAATGTCAAATGTTGTAATTTCTTTGGTGTTTATGTATTTGCAAATGAAGTAGTTTCAAATGTAGCCATGGTTGTCTATGTATCTAGAAGAGTTATGGTTGTCTATGTTAGATTTTCAAAAGTTTATAACTCCACTTAATGTTATTAATTCATTTGTAGTTATGGTTGTCTGTGTTACAATTCATTTGTAGCTATGGTTGTCTGTGTTACAATTCATTTGTAGTTTTGGTTTGTAGTTTTGAAATGTTATAATTCATTTGTAGTTTTGAAACATATTTTTGAAATGTTACAATTCATTTATAGTTTTGAAATGTAATTTTAAAATGTTGCAATTTATTTGTAGTTTTGAAATGTAGTTTTCCTAAAGTAATGTAACAATTTGTTTAAAAGAAATAATTCCTAGTAATTGTAACAATTTGTTTAATTCTGAAGTAATGTACAATTCATTTGTAGTTAACATTGAAATAATGAAGTAGCAGCATAAAACTGAAATAACATTGAAATAGCAGCATAAATTTGCCTTATAATTCATAATGAAGTAGCAACATTACACTGAAATAACACAAAATTGAAGTAACTTTACATAGCAGGACAACAGTGATGTAACTTTACATAGCAGCATCATTGTTGGCTCCTAATTTCGACGTCTGAATAAGGTTAAAAGTAACAAATAAAGTTTCCTGAAGAAATCTAACTACTTCAAATAGAGCCATATTTTTAAATAAGAGTTGAAGGCATCCTTTTGCTAGGAGAGTCTATGTTATGGACTTAGAGATATTCCTCAACAATTGGAAGACCCGATTCGACAAAAGCGTTGCTAGGGGTATTTCGACGAGTTCGTTTGAATTCAAATAGAAGAGGGAAAGTCCATTTTTAAGAAAGACACGTGGAACACCCCTCTGATTCGAAGGCATGCACAACGACACTTGTCTTGATTTGGTTTGTTAACCATTAATGGAACTTATGTTTGATTGTTATAAACGTGTGTGTTCAATTTTATACAAATTCTTTAGTGTACTCCAAGTATCCGTGTGATTGAGAGAAACGAGTTTATAATAATGTATGCTGACTAAACACTAGTTTTCATTTCAATGCAATTTGACAAATTTCTTTATTTAAGAATTTATCCTTTCTTTATGCAAGTTCTTATCTTCGTCATTTATCAGCATTTCGATTTCACTTACTGTCACTTAAATTCATTTACATTTGAAATAAGTTGCTTTATTATGGACTTTGTGTTGGCTCTTAATTTTGACGCCTGAATGAGGTTAAAAGTAACAAATAGAGTTTCCTGAAGAAATTTAACTACTTCGACTAGAGCCATGTTTTGAAAGGAGAGTCGAAGGCATCCTTTTGCCAGGAGAGTCTATATTATGGACTTAGAGATATTCCCTAGCAGTTGGAAGACCCGATTCGACAGAAGCGTTGCTAGGGGTATTTCGACGAGTACGTTTGAATTCAAATAGAAGAGGGAATGTCCGTTTTTAAGAAAGACATGTGGAGTGCCCCTATGATTAGAAAGCATGAACATCGACACTTGTCTTGATTTCATTTGTTAGCTGTTAATGGCAGTTACGTTTAATTGTTATAAATAGCAAGTATTAGTGTTAAGATGTGTGTATTCAATTGTGTACAAATTCTTCAGTATACTCCAAGTATCCTTGTGACTGAGAGAAACGAGTTGGTAAGAATGTACGTTGACTAAACACCAATTTTCATTTCAATGCAATTTGACAAATCTCTTTATTTAAGATTTTATCCTTTCTTTATGCAAGTTCTTATCTTCGTCATTTACCAGCATTTCGATTTTACTTATTGTCACTTAAATTCATTTACATTTGAAATAAGTTTCTTTATTATAGACTTTGTCGAAGTGTTCATAGTTTTCATAAACTTCATTTAAGATCAATTAACACATGTCATAGGATTTGTATGGTAGATCCTGCAAGTAAAACATATCTTTTTTTTCGATTTGTAAGACCATCGGTTGTTCACCAATTTTCACAGTGAACAAATTGGCACGCCCAGTGGGACGATGCTAAGTGATCATAAAAAACGTTTCTAAAATTCTCTTTGGGAAAAAATTTATTAGTTCGGTGGTATAAAAATTTCTTCAAAATACATCGTTGTATGTTATTAAGAAGTGGTAAGTTAGCCACCGTTAATGAAGATAGAACAAAAAGGAGATATAGAAGGAGAATGGTGACGAAGTTGAACCAGCCAAATATTCCTCAGGATGTCCCGAATAAAAATATAGAACAACCCATAGGGGCTTCGACAGGAGGACCAACAGTCTCACTGTCTGTCTCTGAAGCAATACCTTTTATGGGAAGTTTGATGCCCACACATTTGATTTCCTATACGCAACCTATTCTGACTTACATTGGGCCAAGGGGTCCTCCACAGACTCCACCACCGATAGGGACTTTGATATTTATAGGCATCTTTCCCCTTGGGTTTTCATTTCCTTTGCCTCGAGATCTGCTATATGGAATGCCAACTTCGATGATGACAAACTTATAAAATGCCCCTCCATTATATACAGAACCCGTAATGACTTCGCCATTACGGGGGTCTGACTCTGGGGTAAATGTGGGTCGAAATAGTCAAAATTTAGGTATAGGGTATTCAGCCCAAATGCCAGGTTTGACGACCAATTCTGCATCTTATTTGAGACAATAGATGGACGAAAATAACCATCAAATGGTTCAAATGATGTCTCAAACTATGAGGGAAATCTTTTAGCCCCTCATTCAGAATATTAAACAAACCAATCAACAATTTGCAGTGCAAATGACGCGCCTTGTAGAATTCTTGGGTGTACCAAATCCCCCTCGACAACCACTGGGGGATTATCTAATAAAAAACAAATGGGTAGTCTTCGACGAAGACAACATCATTAACCAAATTCCACAAAACTTGAACCAGGAAAATCAAAACAACCAGGGAATGATCGAATGACCTAGAGTTGAACCCCCTATGAACCAACCACAAGTTCCTAGAGAAGAAGAACCAATGGTAGTTTTGGTAAATAGAAACCAGGATGCTGAAAACATCGTACAACAAGTTCAACATAACAATCTAGTGGTAGACAACAATTTGGCTCCCATGGTCGAAAGAATCATGGCACGTAACAGAGTAAATTTTGGCCTTCGACAGGCAAATTATACGTCACCGTTATCAGAATATTTCCTCCAGGAAGATTTACCCCTGAGAACAAAAGTTCCCAAGTTCACTAAGTTTTCTGGGGATACCACTGAGTCTACTGTTGACACGTGGCTAGGTATTTGATAGAAGCGGGAGACATTTCAAATGATGAGAATCTTAGGGTCAAGTATTTCCCAAGTTTTCTTACAAAAAACGCTTTTACTTGGTCCACAACCTTACCTTCAAATTCGATTCACAATTGGGCCCAGTTAGAACGTTTATTTCATGAACAATTCTACATGGGACAAACGAATATTAGTTTGAAGGAATTGGCTAGTATAAAACGAAAGTTTACTGAGCCAATTGATGATTATTTAAATAGATTTAGACTTCTCAAACCAAGGTGTTTCACGCAAATACCAGAGCATGAGTTAGTCAAAATATCTGTTGGTGGCTTAAATTATTCCATTAGAAAGAATTTAGATACTCAATACCTGAGGAATATGGCCCATTTGACCGATAAAGTTTGACAGTTGGAATGTGTTAGTTCCATGGTACTATGATTGTCTAAATTTTGGTAAAACATGATTTTGCATTGATGTTAAGCAAGATGTTATAACATCTTCATCAATTGTTATGACAATACTGCTGTCATGTGTTTCAAACAAGATGTCGAGACAGATGTCATGACATCTTTGTCTGGTACAACAGGAGCTGCTATTTTATATCTCTTGACAAATGTGTTTTGGTTTGATGAGGTCCTGTTGGATATACCTCATCAGTATGCGCAAGTCAAGGAGATTTATTAGGAACAAAGTGCAGATTTAATTGGATTTCATAAAAAGGATCTTTGAGACTTTTTAGAAAACTATAAAATATTTGTTTCTATTTTTATGGAGAAGATTCTGTAGAAGATTTACAATGAGAAGATTTAGAATTTGATTTGATCAAATATGAGTTGGTTTTAATTATGAGAAGATTTGAAGTTTGACTTGATTGGCAGGCATTTTGGTAAAACTAGGTGTAATCACAAGATTTCTTACAGGATGTCATGACATCTGTCTGTCAGGATCACCAGGTTGTTTCCATATCTTTTTGTGCAAGCTTGCTGCACTATTCAGGTGTAGAACCTGCGTGTTTTTGGTGGTTTTCTAAAGGGGTTTCTAATACACTTATTATAGATCAGATTTGATTTGATATGGAGTTATTATCAGAAGATTGATTGAAGATAGGAAGAATTATATGATTAGATTTGATTGATCAAATCAAATCTGTTGCAATTTATGAAGATTGAAATCTTCTTTTCATGTTATTACTTTTGGCACAGCCCAAGCCTAGTATGCATTACTATTTAAGGAGGCGAAAACCCTAGCTGGAAGAAATAGACAAGCATTCACAACAAGAAGATCTTGAATGCTAAATAAGGGTTTAGGGTTTTGAGAGTATTGTGTGTGTGTGACTCTGTAAGTCACCATTTGTATCTTTTGATGCATCGTGGTAGACATACTTATGTGTTAGTTTTGGGAGCCATTCACTCATTGGTTAATGTGTGAATTGGACTAAGTTGTTAATTGTAAATTGTTCACTCAAAGCGTATAAGCAAGAGTGTATTGTTCTTGATTGAAGCTTTTAAGCAAAGATCAAGTTGTGACTTTGAAGGGCGTCTTCTAAAGTCTTTTTGCTTTGTTGAATTGATATCACTACTGTGATTGAGGGGGAGTGAGAGGTGTCTCTTATCTAGGTGTGGTCTAGGCAGAAATTGCACTGGTAGGGATTAAGTGAGGGGTTGTAAATTGGTAGTAAATTGATACTACTTATAGTGGATTTCCTTCCTGGCTTGGTAGCCCTCAGATGTAGGTGATGTTGCACCGAACTGGGTTAACAATTCATTGTGTTATTTATCTTTCTGCATTTAATATTCTGCTCAATTTAAATGGTTAGATAAATTGTTCTGTCAGTTTGCAGATGTTACAACAGATGTCATGACACTGT